CCTAAAAAAAAAAAAAAAAAAAAAAAAACTAATGCAAGTCATAAACTGCAACAAAAGACATTAAAACACTTCCAATCCACAGTTTTCCATCTTTTTCCTCGACTTCACTTGCTGCTTTGACAACCTTTCCCTCGCTATCCTCTAATATCTGCAAAAGCTTCCCTTGTGGGCTGTACTTCACAACCACTCCATGAGGCCGTCCCCCAATGTGAAGCAGGAACTGGAATTTTGCTGATATTGGAAGCTTGAGTAGAAATTTCCTCAGTCTCGGATATTCAGCTTCCAAGCTAGCTAGATCGTTGGTGCTGGTATCAGTAAAGTACACATTCCCTTCGTCATCAACATCTAGATCGTTGGTGAATTTGAAAGGCACCCCTTCTGCTTCAGTTGAAACAGATGTTGCCAAGCCTCCTTCAGGTCCTACTTTCATCAGCCCAAAGTATGCATCTGCAATGTATAAATGGCCTGTTTTCTCGTCGAATCGGAGACCTAAAGGGCGGCCACATATATGTTCATTCTTGGAATAACTCAAAATTGATGGTTTAGGATCACAAATCTCCGACCTGAAACGCCAGGGAAATAAATTAGAATGCATCAGCATCATCTAAAACACAGATCTTGAAAAAGGAAACGAGGACAAGTAATTATATAGATCAAAATCAAACCATTCTACATACTTATTTTGGCATTGAACAGAAAATTACCTATTAGACGAAGTAGAAGCAAAATCAGTCCAGGATTCCCCATTCCAGAACAACACTCCACCATCAGCTACACCAGTATAGGGTCCGCGCCCTTGAGGATCGAAAGACACACTCTCAGGGCCCTGAACTTCATCCTTAAACATGATTTTCGACTTCTGCAACAAGTTAGAGCTATCTCTCTCCGTCGGTATTTGAGACCACGAAGGCAATTCCACATAATAGGTCTCAAAGTCCGGGAAATCAGCGATTGCACTGTGCTTGAATGGATCAGTAGCACAATACAGAGCCACTGCGAAGAAGAGGCCGGCGAAGACAGCTCCGAACGATACGGACGACTTATTGTTACCTACCTGACGCCCCATGCCTGCGGAATCAAGAAAATGGCACTTGATTGGAGCGGTGGAGCGGCAGAACTGGTTGAAGATTGTAGAAGTTGAGGAGAAGTTGAGGAGTGGTAGGTAGAATTTGATCGAGGTTTGATTATGAGAAGAGAATAACGAAGCTCCTATTTATTGCTTTCGACACCACATCACTAACAAGATTTTATTTTATTCTTATTTTGATTTTTTTCATTATTTTCAAAAATATCTTCTCTTTTTTAAATACAATATTACCTTTTGTCTTAATAAATATTTCATATATATTTAATTAAATAAATAAAAAGTTTTTGTATTTTATTTTATTTTCTTTACCATAGTTATGAGAATTTTTGTCACACAAGTTTAAATTATTTTTATTAAGATTTTTGTTTAAAATTATAAAATATTTTTAATCAAAATTTGTTTTCCAATATTTATAAAGGGTAATGGTGTAATTTTGATATATTTTTTTTATTTCATTTTAAAAAAATCATATATTTAGATAGATTTCAGTTAAATAATTTGAGAGATTTAAATTTTATTCAATATAATATGAATATTCAAAAGTATTTAAGATTAAACTGATAACTGATATTTTAAATAAATAAGAATATTATTTGTAAAAAATTTATAATTTAATAATACAAAAAATCTGTCATTAAAATAATACAATAATAAGAAGTGATATGAAAATATATAAATGTATAATATATTTTAGATAATTAAAATAGGTAATATTTTAATTAAAATTACATGAATGAATTTAATAGTAAAAATAAATATCAAATTAGGGAGACAATTATTTATTATTATTATTATTATTTTCTCTAAATCACCCTTTCCCTTATATTTTTTTTAAAAAAATAAATATAAATACTATCAAGATTTTAAAAGTAGATTCAAAATATAAAACAGTTATTCTTTCTATTAATTATTTTATATATTTATTTAATTTGAATAAAAAAATTAATTAATAGGATAAATGAAAAAATTGTCAAATAAATTAAAAGACAAAAAAACGAGTAAGAAATGTTCTAAAGTTATTGAGATCAATTAATAGCAAATAACAAAGAAATCTAAGGTTGTCAGGTCGAAATACATCATCATCTAGCAACCTTTATACTATATGGTTATAATCAATTAAGGACCTTAGCGGGAAAGTATTATAGCCTTATTAGTCATTTTTTCTAATTTATCCGTCACATTTTTTAATTTATCAACATTTCTACGATATGGTTATGATCAATTAATGGAACTTAGTTGGTAAGTATTATAGGCTTATTAGTCATTTTTATAGTTTATTAGTCACATCTGTTAGTTTATCAGTCACTTTAAATGAATCCCTTGTGCGAAAAATTTCCCTGTCGATTAACAGGTGAGTCATTTTTCTAGTTGATCCGTTAATTATGTGTGATGAAAAATTTCTATAATCGATTAGTGAGTGAAATTAAAGACAGAGATGAGACGTTGTAATGAGAACCTATTATTTAAAGTTGACAATAACATAGTATTAGAAGCATTTCACATTATAATCCACTTTTTTAGTTTGTATTTGATTTGACAAATAAACCCAAGGGAACAGAGGTAAAATTTTAGGAGCATTTTTAATAGTATTTCTAAACCTGAATGAAGTAGATGAAATAATTATAATCAATTTGAGTCTGACTAAGTAGATAAAACCCTAATTATCATTCCAACGTTAAAGAACATTGACGTTTTAAAATACTAATAACTCTATATTGAATAAACAACTTATCCTACCAAACTTTGTTCTAGAGAAAAAAAAGTAGAGAACCTAATGCAAATTGTCTATTCCTACGAAACCTAATGCAAGTCATAAACTGCAACAAAAGACATTAGAACACTCCCAATCCACAATTTTCCATCTTTTTCCTCAACCTCACTTACTGCTCTGACAACCTTCCCCTGGCTGTCCTCTAGTATCTGCAAAAGCTTCCCCTCGGCACTGTACTTCACAACCACTGCATGAGGCCGTCCCCCAATGTGAAGCAGGAACTGTAATTTTGCTGATATTGGAAGCTTGAGTAGAAATTTCCTCAGTCTCGGATATTCAGCTTCCAAGCTAGCTAATGTAGAATGTCGACTGTGGATTGCCACCCAAAAGTCACCCTTATCGTTTGTTCGGATGTTGTCTGGAAATCCTGGAAGGAGGGCGAAGTTCTCTGTTGTTCCTGCTTTCTCACCCTTCAACCAATACTTGCGTAATCTAGATCAATAATGGAAAGTGTTCAATGAGTGATCGTTTTGGATGCTAAAATAGTGAATGAGTTGAAATAAAGAGCGCATAGCTTTTGTGAACATAGATCATTGGCGTTCTTTCCATTCATATATCCATGAACTAGGAGCTATAATTAATGAGATTGGAACTGCACTAGTAAATGTGATGAAATACTTCAAAGGCATTTACAATTGGAAAGAGTTTCACCTCCCTTTGCCGCCTTCACAGAACACAAAGAAAGAACCGTCCTTGGTTAGAGACAAGCCATTTGGAAAATAAACATCCCTAACAAGCACAGTGGTTTCTCCTGTGGCAGCATTATATTTCAAAACTCTCCCGGTGTTTTCAGCAGAAAACACTACCTGCAAAAAGTTCCTGCACCAGAAAGACAAGTACTACAACTCTTAGCTGATTCAATTGAAGCTATATGCATAGAAAATGATATACTTATGGTAAAAATCTAGTAGAGTTATATGGTAAAGCTATATATCTATTCCCTCTAGTTTCATCCATATAAATGATCTGGTCAATATTTCTCTTTACTTAAGAGAGGATATGTTTGTTGTGCGATCTTAACCGGATCATAACAGGTGATGATAATATTGTCTTGAACAAGAATCAAGTTTTTTTAGATAAAGAACATGAAAGAGTTTTTTCATTCCCCTGCTCCTAGTCTCCTTCTAGGAATGAATTTGATCATTGCTTAACCCTCCTCTATCAATAAAATCACTATAATAATTGGAAAGTTTACTTACTATTAATGCATCATGGTCATATGTAAATTAGCAAGAAAAAAAATCAGCATAGCTTACCTTCTAGAGTATTTGGTGCTGGTATCAGTAAAATACACATTTCCTTCGTCATCAAGATCTAGATCATTGGTGAATTTGAAAGGCACTCCTTCTGCTTCAGTTGAAACAGATGTTGCCAAGCCTCCTTCAGGTCCTACTTTCATCAGCCCAAAGTATGCATCTGCAATATATAAATACCCTGTTTTCTTGTCGAATCGGAGACCTAGAGGGCGACCACATATATGTTCATTCTTAGAATAACTTAAAATCGATGGTTTAGGATCACAAATCTCCGACCTGAAACACCATGTAAATAAATTAGAATGCATCACAGCATCTAAAACACAAATACCTTGAAAAAGGAACTGAGGACAAGTAATTATATAAGATCAAAATCAAACGACTCTGCATACTTATTTTTGGCATTGAACAGAAAAGTACCTATTGGAGGAAGTATAAGCAAAATCAGTCCAGGATTGGCCAGTCCAGAACAGCACTCTACCATCAGCCACACCAGTATAGGGTCCGCGCCCTTGCGGATCGAAAGCCACACTCTCAGGTCCCTGAACTTCATCCTTGAACATGATTTTAGACTTCTGTAACAAGTTATCGCTATCTCTCTCAGTCGGTATTTCAGACCACGAAGGCAATTCCACGTAATAGGTCTCAAAGTCAGGGAAATCAGCTATTGCACTGTGCTTGAAGGGATCAGTAGCACAATACAGAGCCACCACGAAGAAGAGGCCGGCGAGGACAGCTGCGAACGATATGGAAGACTCATTGTTACCTCCCTGGCGCCCCATGCTGCAAAATCAAGAAAATGACACTGGATCGTAGGAGGCGGAACTGGTAAGAAGGATTGGAGGAGGCGTAACTGGTAGGAAGGATTGGAGGAGGCGTAACTGGTACGAAGTTGAAGATTGGAGATGGGAGATAGAGAGATGGAGAGAAATTGGGAGGTTGAAGAGTAGTAGGTAGAATTTGATCGATAATTGATTGCAGGTTTGATTATGAGATGAGAATAACAATGTAGAAAGCTTCTATTTATTGCTTTCGAACCAAATACAGATTTTATTTTATTCTTATTTTTATTTTTTCCATTATTTTCAAAAATATCTTATTCTTCTAAAAATACAATATTACCCTTCATTCTTTTATAAATATTTCATATATATTTAACTAAATAAATAAAAAGTTTTTGTATTTTATTTGTCTTGTTTAACATATTTACGAGTATTTTTGTCACCAAATATAAAGTTTAAGGTTTTTTCTGTGTTAAGATTTTTGTTTAAAATTGTAAATTATTTTAATTTAAGATTCATTTTTCAATATTTATATAGGGTAATAATGTAATTTTAAAAATAATTTTTTTTTTTTTATATACAATCTTAACCATTTCATTCTTTTGAAAAAAAATCATAGATTTAGATAAATTTGAGAGATTTAAATATTAATCCATTTAATTGGAATATTCAAAATTCTTAAAATTGAACTGATAATTGATATTTTAAATAAATAATAATATTATTTGTAAAAAATTTATAATTTAATAGTACACAGAATTTGTCATTAAAATAATACAATAATAAAAAAGTGATAGGAAAAGAAATATATTTTAGATAATTAACGTTGTAATATTTTAATTAAAATTAAATTAATGAATTGAAAAGTAAACCATTAAATTTAATTATGAGTATTACTTTAAGATATCAAATACTAAAAATAAATATCAAATGAGAGAGACAATTATTATTTCTTTAAATCATTTTTCAATAATTTATATTTTAAAAAATAAATAAATATAAATAATATCAAGATTTTAAAAAGTATATATGATTCAAAATATAAAATAGTTAATCTCTCTATTATATTAATTATTTTATATATTTATTTAATTTGAATAATCAGATGAATAAAAAAAATTAATTACTAAGGGAAATGAAAAAATGGTACAATGAATTATATATATATAAATAAATAAACCCCACAACTAAAATTGGTAAGAAATGACCTAAGATTGAGGCAAAGAAATCCTAAGTTGT